GGAGTCATCGACCCTGATCACTCGGTTCATGTGATCGGTGGCTCGGGGGTTCCACTCCGCGGCGTCCACTGTCGGCGGAGGGGAAGGGGGAGTCTGCTGCTGCCGTTGTTGTTGTTGCTGTTGTTGTTGCTGTTGCTGCGGAGGAGCAGGGGGTAACCCACGGCCTCTCCCGCTTTGCTGCTGAGCGGAAGATGCCCTGGATCCCCTGCCGAGGCCATCGTGCCTATGTTTGACCCTTCTCTCCTCCTCTACCTGAGGATCCCGGTCACGCACTTGACCCCGACTGAGAACCCTTGAGGATGGGGTGGAACTGGTCCCTGCAGATGGGGCGTCGTCGGTCGATCCTCGTCCCCTCCCGGCAGCAAGAGCTTGCCTCTGCCTCAGGAACCCCAGGTCAATACGAGGCGTGCTGGACATCGCGACCTCGAGGGCGTCCTCGGAGTCTAGAGATTGTAGAACTTGGAAGTCCGGCCACAAATCTCCTCCCGAAGTCCCCACCTCAGCGTCCGAAGGAACAACGTCCTCTCTGACCCCGAGCTCTTCAACTACTCCCTCTACCTCTGCCTCCGAAGCCCGATCAGGGTCTTCCTCCAAGTTTTCCTCGACCTCTTGCCTCGCCGCCTGATCGAAGAGTTCAGACCACCGCGAAGGCTCAAAAGGCTGAGGAAGCTGTGAAAATTTCTTATACCCGGGGGTGTAATTCAGCAGGATGTGGGCAGCCCGGTCGAACCCGTTGTCACCAGTAAATCTCCAAACCGTGACTAGGTTGACAAAGTTCACCAGCGACTGAGGGGGAGGAGCTGTTTCCCGAGCAGGGATATCTGCACAAACAAAAAAGTAGTCATGAACATCGGATGTCTGGAGAACAAAATAATAAGCCCGAAGGAACCGACGTACTTGTCGTTCTCCATTCCAGAGGGCATAACAAGCCGTTATACTCGGGACCAACACCTCTCTGCCAAGATCCCTTGAAAATAAGAATATCGTCCTTGTACCCCTTCTCCGAGTCGGGAAGATGAGTTACAAGGTACATGGTCCCTGGCTTTGAGGTAGAAGTGTTGGTGAGGCATGACTCTCAAGAGGGAATAACAAAAAAGGAGATCGTTCAGCCCAATATTTACCCCGAGGCGCCTATTGAGCTCTAAGACCCCCATAATTATTCTGAAGACATTAAGACAACACTGTCCGGGGAAGAGGCGGAAGTGAGAGAGGAACTGTAAAAGTAAAGGGGGTAAAGGAAACCTAATTCCGCCCTCTATTATGGCCTTGGTATAAAAGGGTATAGCATCCTCGGCCCCGAGGGTAGAAAAGTGCATCACCGAGTCATAATCCTCTGTGTCTACGCACGGGGGAATGCCGTACTTGACCTTAAACCTATTAATCTGCTCACCACCCTTTACTTTATACTTCCTCGACCCCGAAGAACCAGCCTGAGGATTCTCGGGAGCAGGGCAACAACGAGACATCTCTAAGAAAGTGAGAAAGTGGAGGGTGTTTTTTCTTAAAAATCCCTGAGGAAGCTTCCCGAGGATTAGTCGCTAAGTATCAACCGGAGACACCTCCAGTCATCGGAAAACAAAAAGGGATAGGAGGAAGAAAAGAAGAAGAAACTAGGACTCACCCGAATGCCAAACGGAGTTTTTTCTGGAAAACTTTAGGCGACTCCTTCCAGAAAGTTCAGAAGCAACGATGGGTCTGCTGGCCTTAGGACTTTAAGGAAGAATGACCAGTTGACGATGGAAGAGGAAAGAGATCTTCGGCGAAGATTCAGGAAAAGGCTCTCTTGAGGAAGTTCGGAATGGCGAAACAAGAAAATGCAAGAGGAACCCCATTTATATAGTGGCTGTTTCATCATTGGGCGCGAAAAATGAAACGGCGCATTTAATGCACACGACATCCTAAGCCGGGGAAAGTAGCTCGAGGCAATGATGAAGCATTTGTGGTTGTTGGGAAACCCTTCGTCTCCTTACGACGCGTGCCCTCGGTGTCAGAAGATCGAAGGCTGGGGGGCAATTGATGGGACTTTTCTGAAATACTCCATGATGAAGACACGTGTCCTCGGTATTTATCAAAACACTGTTACTAAAATCAAGCACCATCGGCGCATAAAGGTCCTCGCCCCCGAGGTACTCGTCGTATAGGATCATGGCATTCAGTACGAGTTACAACCAACACGTAGCCTCGGTCTGATATGGTACCTCGGTCGGTATACCTCCCTCGGTTCCGAGATGAGCCTTTCCTCGGTGCCGAGAGGTACCCCATCCTGAACGCTTCCTCTACTCCAGGATAAGCTATTGACGTACAGGTCATTAGCCTAGGCTAGTCTAGGCTATTCATCATGACCTCGTCTTACACAATTAGTGTCAGAACGTACTGGAATGCAGGGGCCACAGCCAATGGGGGATGAACGCGTGGCGTATGATATCACATCGAAGACAGAGAAACCGCATGCCGTTGCTGACATGCGTCTTGGGAAAGAAAACGATTAATTACACCATTCCCTTGATGAGACCGCATTCAATGCGGTAAGGCTCGGAAATGAAAGGCAATAAATGCTCCTAATACAGAGCATTTATTGCATCCTCCCCGAGAGGAGTACATTGTATCGTCGGTATCCCGATGACCCAGCATTGATTGCTCGGGACCCCGAGCAGTTAAGAAGAGAAGACATTCCTCATCAGAATCAGTGCACACACTGCCTGTACCTAATGATCACCTACTGACTGCACTGACAACAATCATGAGCTTTTGAGGTATAAATACTCCTTGCAAAAGGCAAGACGGGTATGCAACAAAAAACTCTTTACTACAATACACACTCAGTGTTTTCTCCTTCCTCTCTCTTTCTCAAAGACTGACTAGGTCGTCGGAGGGGATACGCCGGAAAACACTCCGGCGCCCTTCTAACTTGTTCTTCTTTGTTCCAGGAACCTCTTTCAGCCTTACTGGATCGTTCTTCCGCTCCCCCAGGGTCTCCCGTTGCCGTTCCAGGTTACCACCGGACCTCGCAGGCTGTTCCAAGCAGCGTGATTGGTCACTTAACTGGCTCACTCGAGTTCACCAAGGAAGAGATCTGTTCTCGTTTTTTATATTGTGCAGGATCTTGCACGCACACCTCTAATATATAATCTGTCATATACAATTTTGTTTAACAACTTTGTCATATGAATGATTTACATGTAATTTTTGCCTTTTTTTTATGGGGAGTATGAGTATCATAGGTGAAGCGGGTCATTTCACCTAATGGAAAAAGCTTTATTGAAGAAAAAATAATAAACTTAGAAGCAATAATCATACTATTTACCCTTTTTTTAAAATGACAATACTTGTATAAAATGAATAAATTTTGGTGGATTTAAGATCGATTTACCTTCAACAGAAGCGACTGTGTATTTGTTTAGCTTGGACAAATTCATTTTGTTGGACAATTTTACGGTGAATTCAGCTATGGATAGATAATGTTTGTAACACGTGTTTTTAATTTTTGATTGTTTTTTACATAACATTTATTTTGGAATTTTATTTTTATAAAAGATAATTGTTTCAATCATGTGTCTTTTGGACTCATGGTTGTAACGAAAATCTTGGGTATACACAATCATCAGTTAACAACATACATTCGTTATACTAAAATTTTATACAACTATGGACAACGTACTCAACACGCATTAGTTTACTTTGTGCCTCTTGTTGAACCATTGGACCAACCATGCGGGTTAGTTGTTTTTTGTTTGTACGAGTTTTCTCACTTTGTTCAAAACTTCATCACATGCAAATTAGGGCATTCTTAAACATTTGCAGGTGTATTATTTATATACTAAAATATTCGTGTATTAGTTTCTAAAATTATAATAAAACTTCTCTTTATTTTCTAGCAAAATTACTTGTTCCTTATACATACTCCCAAACAACACATCACTCAAACATAAGACTTGATAAATTTTAGGGCAATGTTGCCCCAATTTCCAAGTAATTAATTGCCAAATTCTCATCACTAAATAATGTAACATGTGAAAGAGTGTTAGATACTTATGAGTCGTACCCATTGAATATTGTTATGCGACGTCATTTAATGAGTAGAATTTATGTATTACAATGGTAGAATGCCACGATTGGTGTGCCTTAATGACACAAAAGAGGAGAATGAAAAGTTTTATTTTGGTGCCTAACTCCATATTTAATGGGTCAAATTTATTGCCTTTTTTTCATCTCATTTTACCTTTTGCTTAGTCACCAATTGAAAAATTCTAGAAAAAAAAAAGGAGTACTTGTTTTTTTCATGGATTAAAAAGGGTAAAATTGGGGACCAAGTAGCAACATGTGTAATTAAAATTATTTATTGTTTGTTCTTTACAAACTAAATTTCAAATACACTAATTTTCATTATATTTTTTTTTAAAAAATAGTCAATATAATAGAATACATGAGTGTCGAAATGATAAAAAATAATAATAATCAAGCATGTCATTTCTCTTACATTGCCCAAATCAAACCAATTAAGGAGCACCCAAGCTCCTCATAGTTTTTTTTTTTCTAAATTATTATTAATTTAAAAAGAAGAAAATATGACTAATTTTTAATCCAAAAAGTAGAATGATTACTAAAAGTTTTAAAAAATCAAAACCACAAACTTGAAGAATATGGTAAAAAGACATGCCATATATACCAAAGAATAATTTGGCAACTCACTTTTAGAAACCCCATATAATTATTTAGAAAGTTAATTCCTACCATTTATTTAATACAAAAAAAGGAATAAACTAAAATAAATATCAGTCTCTATTATATTGAAAGTTTTAAAAAAAAAATTGTGATAAGACCTGAGAGAAGAATAAGAAACATTGATGAAAATGAAAGGAAATAAAAAGGAAAGAAGGAGGTCGGTTCCTTGCACAAAACGTATCTCCAGGGTCTGGTTCGGAATTACGTTCGGATCTAGGTGTGTATTCTTCTATGACTTTGAGACGATAAGAACGACCCTCTCTCTCTCTCTCAGCCTTCACCCCCTACAAGTACCCTCTCTCGACCTCACCGCCTCCAGTTCCAAACCCTTCTCTCTCTTTCTATATCTCTCTCTACAACTTTCTCTCCATATTCTAGCCTACACCCACATACACACTCTTTCTAGATAGAGAGAAAAACAGTGCATTATCTCTGTCTTTCATTGGAAGTGACAAGCTGGCGATCGATAATCAGGAATCCAGTGTACGTGAAATCAAGCCCAAGAACAGACGTATAATGGTAAGCAAGCAATTTTCTCCTCAAATCAATAACTTTCTCACATTCTCTCTCTCTATGGTTCCGGGTTGTCCTGTGTTGCTCTGTTTTGAGTCTGATTTTTGTATTGTAGGGAGCTGGAGGACCAGATGAGGAGGATTGTAGGTGGCCTCCATGGTTGAAACCACTGCTGAAGGAACACTTCTTTGTTCAATGCCAATTACATGTGGATGCACACAAAAGCGAATGTAACATGTACTGTCTAGATTGCATGGACGGCGCTCTCTGTTCTCTCTGTTTGGCCTACCACAAGGACCACCGTGCCATCCAGGTTGGTTTTTTTTTTCATATCACTTGATTACTCTGTTTTCACCTTATTTAGCATCTGGGTTTAATCCATTTTTTGTCAAAAGCAGCCTTTTCTTCTTAGTTTCTTCAGTGGAATCACAAAGATACTCTGGCTTCAACCTCCTTTTAGCAAAGTGGTCTTTTGGGTCTGTTATTTCTTCATTGCTAAGAATAATGATAGATTTCCAAATCGGCTTGTTCTTCATATATAGCTCTTTCTTTAACCCTTTTTAGCCATTGGGTCTGTAGTAAAACCCCCCTTTTTCATGGATTGCTCTGTTTTTATGCGTTCTATACGCTTTACATTAGTGACTTCCAAAATGTCAACGATGTTTCTGGTTTGCTGTAATTTTTGGGAAATTTGATAAAGCTAATCATACTACTTTGTGTTTCATTCATTTTGCATTGTTTGACTTGTTAAATGTCATTGGTTTTTCATCGAGTTTGCATTTTTTTTCTCAAATTTATTGCTCATATATGTTGGCCTGTTTAAGGATCGTTGGTTATTAATTGGGTTTCGCTCTTTGTCTTTGGTACAGATAAGGAGGTCATCATACCATGATGTGATCAGGGTCTCTGAGATACAGAAGTATTTGGACATTGGTTCAGTCCAGACCTACGTTATCAACAGTGCTAAGGTTGTCTTCTTGAATGAGCGGCCACAACCTAGGCCCGGCAAAGGGGTCACTAATACCTGCGAAGTCTGTGAGCGTAGCCTCCTCGACTCCTTCCGCTTCTGCTCTCTCGGTTGCAAGGTACTGCAATGGCCATCAATACTATATTGTCCACAGAAGACTCAATCTGCATATATGATGTCTAGATTGATCAGTCTTTTAAGGAGTTTGTCTTGTCAGTTGTCATACTACAATGAAGTAATTAAGATTGGGTGGGTAGGCTCATTGAAACCACAGGAAAACCCAATTACATTATTGGGTTTAATTCCAAAAAAAAAATAAGTACTTTTTGATGAATATATTTTGGGGTTAAATTACCATTTGATGAGGTTCCTAATCTCTTTTATGAAGAATTTTGATTGGGAATTTACCAAAATAATGATGTGATGATGTTGTTAATCACTGTTATTGTTTAATATGCAGATTGTTGGGACCTCGAACAATTTCCAGAAGAAGAACAGAGCATTGCCGGAGAAGAAACGCGGTCTGATGACGGCATCGGACTCCGAGGACTCATACAGCAGCAGCAGCCATGGCCGGCGCAAGAGCCCCATTAAAGACTACAAAGTCCAGAGTTTCAGTCCGTCAACTCCACCCCCAACTTCGGTTACTTACAGAACTGCCAAGAGAAGAAAGGGAATTCCACACAGAGCCCCAATGGGAGGACTAATCATAGAATATTAGAAACCCCTACTTTTTACCTTAATTTCCCTAATACCACGCTCATACAAAAAAAAAGTAGTAGACACTAGTGCTTTTACGGAAGAGGCCAGTGTTGGGAAAACCCTAATGTATATACAGAAGCAGTCAATAGAATGTGATCATGAAAATAGAAGGGGGGTAGGAGTGAGAAATAAGACAATGTACAAGGTCTAGAATGTGGAGGAGATAAGAGTTTGGAGAAGAAAAATAAGCTTTAGTTTGAAATATGAAAATATAGTGGGTTAATGAGGTCATTATACATAAGTTTTATCTCTTATGTTTATTGAGTGGGGTCAAAATGTAAATACTGTTTTGTGTTAGGGGCTAGAATGCAATTACAATGCACTCGTATAAAAGCAGGGTTGGTGTCTATATATGGAATGAAATAAGAGATTTTATGGTGTATAATGCTTGTACGCTGTGCTGTGCTCTTCTTATGTTTTTCGGTAAGTGTCTGCTGCTGATCTCTATTTTTAGAAAGTTTATTCAGTGGAATGGCTTGTGGGACAATGGGTTCCACTAGTGGCCGGCTGGGTGGGAAAAGGTTAAAGAGTTTGTAGTTGTCATGGGAAATACGTGTCGGGTGATGGTTGGATGAAAGATGCAAGTTGTCTTTCTTTTTTTGGAATAATGAATTAGGTTAGCCGCCCTTGGATCTAACGTGTGGCTTGCTTCAAAACGTGAGTTTCTTGGTGGAGGGGTTTTGCTAGTCTTCATGTGGGGTATAATTGGTTTCTCACCGTCAGATTTCATTCGAGGGCTGAGATTATTTTGGGGTTCATTTGTGGCCTAAAAGATTTTTTATTTTCTTGATAACTGAAATAATACACTAAAATAAATTTTAAATAATTAGTAAAAATTAGAAGGATATTCATGTGGCAAAGGACAGAGATCCCATAATCACTTATTGAACCATGAAATTTTATTAAAAATGTATAAATTATCCATGCAAATGCGACATCCGAAATTTTAGTTAATTACACTAGTTATTCAAATTTTGAAAATGATAAGTAGACAGAATCATGGAAAATTCTCTCTAATAATTTTCTTTATTCTTTGGTAGACCATCTTGAAACCTATTGTACAATAGAGAATTCTTCACCATTAGATAGAGAATAATCTATTATTAAAAAATAATGGAAAAAGAGATCTGAATCCTAACTTAATTAGAAGTTCGAGGTTAGCCTAATGAATGCTGTCCCACTGTTCAATTTTAAGGTCACATGTTCATACTTTTATCGTTCCCCTTCGTGTAATAGTGTGGAACAAAAAAAAAAAAAATCTTAACTTTGACAGGGTTTTTTAGTCATTGGCCGGTTTGTTGGGATTATAAAAGTTGCACTAGTGGATCATTTGGCTGCTTGCCACTGCTTTGCTGTGGGTCGATCCTGATCGTTGAATGTGGTTGGTGCAATCTTAAAGGTCATTGCATACGTATATTGACTGGTAGAAGTTTCGTCCTCAATGCGTTGTCCTTGTGCAAAACACAATTTCGTTTTTTCTACTTCTCATAGAGAAAGACCTGTGCCAACAATTTATGGTTTAAATATACATTATTTTTTTTCTATATGGTAATCTCTTATGTCTTTCCCGAATAATCAATACAATTTTTTTTATCAATGCAATGCATTATGAAGATGGCGATGGCAATGGTGATGACGCATTTCCTTGATATTTTATGAGTGCTTGTACATGGGGCGGGGATCATGCGGCCCAAAAACTATCTCAATAGACTCTCATTAATGAGATCATGAGGTTTTTGACTACGTCCATTACTCCTTTCAGGAACAAACTTAGTTAAACTAGCAAATAGGTCAACCGCCGAACCCCAATATTTCCTCCAGCACTCGAACATCCAACCTTAGGGTAAAAAGTTGAGCCGGTACTTCATTGAACCACCCCATGGAGTAGTGTGAGAGACGTAATAAAATATGAAATTGTATTGTCATATTGTAGTACCTTGTCTAGAAAAAAAATGCCAATTTTTTTTTATTTTTATGTTTTACCTTATGTGCACATGCGTAAAATGGTACACAAAAGGTTTTGAGGCTTATAGGTGATTAGAATTTTCATATACACAAAGGTTTACAATCATGCACATTACAAATCTCTGTATACATAACTTGATCTTTGATATTTTTTTCCAACAATGATGATTATATAAAATTGGTTTCGGGGTTGAACGTCCAAAATAAGGTTATACAAATTTATAAAATAGACTTACCATATTTATTCGTTAATTTATAAAGTAACGAATTAATATTATGAGCCTATATACTATTGTCCTTTATTAACTGTCTATCAAATTTTTGTTTGTAAGAAACGAAATAGAATCAGAAATGCTTAATCTTTAGATAAATAAACAGATGAATGAAACGAAACAAAAATGCTTTTTTTAAACTTAATATCTCCTTAATCAACTCGTGGCAACCCTAAAACATAGTATTAGTGGGGTTGGTACATATATTGTCCCAAAAAGTTGGCACAATGTGTAGCACCATTTCAATGGTGAGAGAAAGATGGTCATTTTCTTTTCACTCTCATTTTCACCGCCGATCCTTTAGATCAGGGCAATGAGAAAAAAGAGCTCATACCGTTTTGTCTTTTAACTTTTACCACCGACGCATTGACTTAGATTTCCTTCCCGTGTTCACACAATTAAAAAGTAGTTGCTTGTGAAAGTTTCTTTAAGGCAATAGTTTAAGTAGTAAAATGTATAGGTTGCTTTAAATTTGAATTTTAGCAATATCTTGGGACGAGATTATATAAAATTTATCTTTTATGAATTTTCTAGTTCTATCGTGGATGACCTGTCTTTGATGGATTGGATAGAGAATTAATCGAAGTATACGTAAACTAATCCAAACATCCCAACACCGTTAAACCAAAAAATAAAATTTCTTCATGGCCCAAAAAACCTATGCCCTAATAATATTACTACCTATACCTAATTTGTTAAATTAATTTATTATAATTGTTAAATTAATAATAAGTTTTAATTAATATTGAGATTTATTGTCTATCTAATAGTGAAAATTTACTAAATTGAGGTAGCATTGTCCGTAGCCTAAACTAAACTCCAAGAAAGAAGAAGTTACAATAAAAAATTTATATATAACAGTGATAGCGTGTCATTATTATTAACCACAAAGAATATTTCAAGTAGTAATAGAGATGAACTGTGAACTCAGATGTCGTGAATTTAAATTTTAACAACTCTTTAAGGTTAAATCATAAGAGATTTATACTTTATAAATATACTAGCCTCAGTGTGGATTATCCTGAGCTTGAATCTTTGCAATTAGAGAGGAGATTAATTAAGTTGATCGTTGAACTAAAAAAAGGATATCGCTTCGTTATGGTCACATGATATTATCATTTAATAAAAAGTTAACAAAAAAGTTAAAGAAAATTCCACATAAATTAGTAGCTGCCCCATATAAAAAATGGGGTTAAAGTGTTTATTTAAAAAAAAAAAAATTTCTTTATTTGTTAATTTTTTTATTAAATTATGTATAATAATAATAATAATAACACGATATCACGACTATATTTTAAGAAAAAACAAAAGAATTGACACGTAGAGATTCTTTCCTTTAACTGGTTTTCTGGTAGAGATTTTCAGATTTCCGTAAGAAGCGTGTGGTGACACAGGGGTTAACTTGTCTTTTTCTGATTTTATTTATTTAATTTCTCACATAAGTCAAGTTTGGTGATGTGTAAAGCGCCACGTGTCAGTTAGGTCCCCATCAACTTGCATTGTTCATACAAAGTGTGCCAAAGCATCACAATTGATGGTCTCTCTGGTTGTCGACGAAGAAAGAAGACAAATCCTAATATAATATATGAAAGTATTTTTATGCATAGACAATCTCTAAATAATTACCAACTCGTTGACAAAACCTCGTTAAACTTTGTTTAAGAGCAATGTTATTGAGACCTAATTCACTGTAATATTTGAATTCACTGTAGACTCCATTAAATATTAGACTTTGTTGTTGATCTTATGATTCCTATAAAATAATATAATAACTTGTGAAACATGTTTAAAAAAAGATACGCGGCCTTAAACTCAAACGCGAGTAGCTTGGATGTGTGGTCATTCATTTCAGGTGAAAACTTAGCCATTCACGTTTTAAAAAAAATTTGATATTAACCCTACATGCCTCTATTTTCAGAAAACAGACAAAAGGTCCTCAAACCTCGATAACAACGTAAGTCTCGATAGTAATTTGAGAAAAAAGAAATAACAGAAAAACGGCCACCAACTAAACTCCCTTTGCAAACTTGAGGCCTAATGTCCCTGAGTGTGACTTGGACCGTATCATCCACCATTCTTATAAATCATTTACGTTTAACAGTAATATTAAATTGTTCAAATTTTGAAATTAAATTTAGAGCTCAAATGACATGACAGTTGACTTGAACTTTTTTGATTAGTGTTATGTCATTTTAGACCTAATAAAAATTTAAAAAAATCAACTGTCATGTCATTTAATCTTTAAATTTGATCCTAAACTTTAATCGGTATAACATTATTCTATACTTAAAGTGAGATTCTTGGAACTCTGTCGGCAAACCTGCCTAATGGAAGTGAAGCATTTTTTGTATAACTGTGCATGATTTCAACCTATCTAACCTTGTTGGTAAAAAAGTCATTTCCTTCATCAGACCCGTTTCATCTTTTTTTTCAACTTTGTCATCTACAGAGAGCTGGAATCTATTTATCGACCTTCTTTATCACTTGGTGGTTGTGGGCTTAAAATTCCAACCCCAAGTTATGGGTGGCTGGTGAGAGAGAGAGAGAGAGAGAGAGAGAGAGAGAGAGAGAGAGAGTTTAAATTTACTTAAAAACAACAATATCTACATCTCAGTTTGAACTGTTTTAATGTGAAATTTATTAAATAATTTGCTTCTCCATTCTTTACAATATCACCACCATATTAATGTTCCGTTTGGTATAATAAAAAAAATAAAAGAATAAAAAGTTAGACAGATGAAAAGTTGGAGAGATAGATAAAACATTATGTTTTGTAAGGAAAGAAAGTATGAAAGATAGAAAAGTGGATGAATAAGCCTTCATTTCAACTCATCAAAATCAATCCCTCCAAAATTGGGAGAAAAGTGGTTGAAAAAATAATTATTTGTGTTGAAATGTATTTTATTTATCTATATATCATTTGATATATACACGTATTATGTATACATTAATTTTATATATAAATAAAATGATAAAATATGTATAAATTAAAAAATTAAAAAAAAAGAAGTATTTTTTCCATCTTATCAAGCACAAAAAAAAATATTCATTTTTATTTTCTATTCATCCTACCAAACATAAAAGAAGAAAAATATATCATTCTTACTTTCCTTTCTTGGAAGATAGAAAATATATCTCT